GCTCAAGTTGTACTAGTCCTGTTACTCTCGAACAATCCGGATAAAGTCGATGTAAATGTGGTACACTCTCGAAAGAATCACCCTGTTGCTTACTTTTGAGATCAGTGACAAACGTTAGCTGAACTTCAATGAAGTTGGATCTGTAGGTTATCGGCCAAAGGTGTATCCACTGGATATGTGAAGCACATGCGTCTGCACATAAATGCGAATTTTTCGCGCAGTTTGTGGCACTTTTCATTAGATTATCGACTATGGCGCATATCATTTAGACGTGCACTGACATGTGCGACATATGTAATTGCATCTTCATGGGTCTCTGGTGACTATATGCACATTATTCTAAATTTTTCTTCCTTTCATACCTTTTTACTATCTGTCTTTCTTTTTTCTTTATCAATATGAAAATATTCTAATGAGATTTTACTGTTTTCGCTCCCTCGATCGAATGAATTTTTTAAAAACCAAAAACGTCGCCCTTAGGAACATGAATGGTCTAAATATGGTAAAAATCCTGACCTTCCACGATGTATCGTTCGATCGGGCGTGGAGGTAATGAGTTTTAGTGTTTTTCCGCTGTAATGGCCTGTATATCTCGGAAAAGGAAGCATTGTGGAAATTTAGTCCTATAACACAATTTTTAATTTTTTCTTGATCTCTCGTTGCTGAAACTTTCTTAGCATTCTTTCCAGCCCTTCTTGAGAAAGTGGGGTGCCCTTAACTAATCGATAACGAATAGTTGCGATAGAATCTGTTTTTTCAGAGGTAACTGTTACATCTAGAATGCACCAGGGCAGTATAGTAGGTTCAAACCTCTTTCTAATCTTATCAATGATCTTACGGTTTCCCTGTATAGATTCTGCACCTCTTCCACACATAGTACAATGTTTGAACCTTTCTGTGAAATGCCGGCTCTAAATTGAAGCTTCCCTGCTTGCTCTTGTTTACTTTACAGAATCCATGATTACATTTGGATTTATTCTGTTTTAAATCTAACGTTTCGACTCTTCGTGGAATCATTTACAAAATAAAATATGCAGCACTATTGTACTTTACATATGAAACAGTCCGGAAACGAAGGAGATCAAAGGATAATCCACGTTCGTAGAGTTGTCTACATGTTTGTCTCTTAGTTTTTCCAATACAGGGTATCACAAAAGTTAGTTTACCGAGATAGATACACATTAGTATGTACATTTTTATCCTTATTTACATCAAAGTTACATCATAATTATTTATTCACGTCACAATTATTAATAATTGAAATAAGAATAAAATAATTCAGCAGCACCGCGCTGCTATTTCCAGAATAGTTTCTAATAAATCAGGTTGATCTACCTCTAATGACGGATGATGCGGCTCTTCTTTCTTAAAACGCTTTAAAGTGTCAGCAACACCTGGATGTTTTTCAACTATAATGTTGAGTGCTTCTTTTGTTTTGGTTCTTGAGCAGAGGTCAAATACTTTTCAATTTTCATACTCTTCTCCACTTTTCAAAATCTTTCAGCATCCGTCTGTTCTCATCTTTGAATCAACCGATCAATTTTAATGCCTGTATTTTTTTTTCTAATTTTTCATCTACATCATTCAATTTCCATACTGGCTAGAGCTTTTACGGGTTGCGTTCTTAACAGAATGACGTTTGATGAGTCAAAACTTTGACTACCGCATACTGAGAATTTCTATGAAAATTTTAGACTAGTTTACACTCCACATTCGCCTGGTAGTACTTAAAATACAGAGTATGAGTGAGTACGAAAAGCTTAAATTCAAATCATTCCAAGAAAACGTATGACAGTCGTCGAAGAGATTACAATCAAGCATGAGGTGTTCAAATCCGAAGATCCAGGGACTGTTCCACCAAAGGTTAATCTAGTCTTAATTATCGAGAACGAAAGAAATATCATTTAAACATATCATTCATATTGTTCAATGTGCTCAGCAGCGAAGAAAAGTTTAGCGAATATAAGCTAAATAGTATTCTAGTCACTGAAACTACTAATACACTAAACTTCACAGGTACTGCACTTATACGACTTACTCACTAAAAGGATGGCAACACTTCATGATTATCTCTATCGAGGCTGCTGATCCTGTGTACAGTAGTGTTATTGTCATAGCATATGGGAGATGGTAAATGAATGCTTAATTTACTATATTTGGACTGAGAAAACCCGAAAACGTGTATACTTGTACGATATCATTCTTTTTCTTCTTTTAATATACTAACAGCTTGCAGATATACTTTTTAATGTTCACAAATAAAATAGAAAAATGGTATTGTTGAAAATGCGAAAGATCTTATGACGTCTCTCCAGGAATGGCATAAAACTGCTGAAGGATCTGCATTCATCAGTGCTTGTAGAATCACTATGGATGGTGTTGTCTTATGTCTGTTGTTCGCTTTCCCGGTATCGAATAAAAATTTAACACTTTGAAAATGTATGTTATGAGATTGATTTGTTGTTGATCATCAGTAATTATACTCGGCCTTTTTTCCACCACATTGCTAAGAGCGTTTCAGTCTAATAAGAATCAATATATATGTAGCTACATGATAAGCTGCTATCAACACCACCAGCATGGTAACGTCAAATCCTAACTTGTCTGGTATGGCATAAAAGTCTAATACCTGTGCTCCGGTTTGAAAACAATAGTCGGTTGAATGGCAGAAAGTCATGTTATGAACAGGCTTCCATATACCAAGTAGTATGGCACTGTACGAATAATAATACCACGTTGAATACTGGAACCATTTGAAATAAACTGGTACCGATCTATTATTAATCATAAATCCTGTAAAAAGCATGGCAGTTTCAATAAAAGGTAATGCAATTGAAACAGCACTGTCTACTGAAGGCATTATAGCTGCAAAAATGTGATTAAAAGCAACGCTCGCCAGTGTTGCGAGAACGCCAACAAAACAAAACAGGAAATATAATTTGAAAGTAGCCGCAAATCCAACAGACCAGTAGACAATTGTTATAAATAAAATTGGCATCGTCATAAAAAACGGAAAATCGGCTATAAGTTTAGAGATATAGAAGGCAGGTGTATTGTACAAATAACGTTTACGTTCGCGAATAAAAACGTGCATGACATTTGGAAGCGTTGCCAAAACTACAAACGAATTTGATGTACATATACTCATCAAAACAACTTGTACAATAGCGTTTGAATTTTGAACAGTTTGCGGTGTGTCCATCGTTGCCGATTGAAAATAGATAATTGAAATGGTCAACGCCGGAAATAATAATTTGAGTAATAAATCAGTTGTCTGCACCGGGTTACGCGAACCGGCTTTAAAAGCTCGCCATAACAGCCATTTCATTTGACGGGGGAAGCCAGATTCAAAATCTAATTCGACTGGTTCCTCATCTGTGGCGCTCTTTTGTGTTGATATTTTGTTCATATGATGGATCGTTTCGATCATCGATTTGTTATATGATGAATGCTGAAATGTTTCGATGCATTTTCCAACAAATCCATTATTTGTATTCGAGGATAACTGTGTTAAGTAATATTCTGCAGGATTATAATTAGGTGGACATGGACGTTGTAGTGATGATGCAAAGAATTCCATTGTATCAGTGCGGTCACCGAAGTAGGCTTGTTTTCCATTGACTAATAAGCTAATCATATCGAGTGAGGAGTAAATCTCTAATGTTGGTTGATGAATAACAGTGATCATCGTTTTTCCTTCGTCTGTCAACTTTTTCATAATGTTTACAACTGATTTTGCCAAATGTGAATCAAGCCCAGATGTTGGTTCATCGACAATCAATAATTTGGGATCATTCAATATCACACTTGCAAATGTCAAACGTTTTAGTTCACCACCACTGATACCTTTTAATTTGCCTGGCACACCAATAATAGTATTTTGACATTTCTCCAAATCCATTGTCCACAATACTTCTTCAACACGTGCACGACGATCAGAATCACTTATTGACGCTTTCAAACGTAGCATGGCCTATATTTGGAACAAATAAAGTTGTTCTTATAATAAGTTACAAGTATAGACTTAGTTTACCTGAAATATCAAATGTTCCTTGACAGTCATCGTTCCGATGAATAATTCATATTGTTCAACATAACCACACTTTGTCATTAACAATCTATTCCTTTCTAATGCATCAACTCCATTCACATGTAAAGTGCCTTCAACAGCCATGCCATGTCCTTGTCTACCACTCAAGATACTCAACAGCGTTGTTTTACCTATTCAAAATGAGTTAACCGCAGTCATGGCAAAGCATTTTGCTCACCTGCACCAGATGGACCA